TCATGACCTGAGGCAGATGCTTAACGACTGAGCCCCCCAGGCACCCCATCACCCTTTAATTTTAAATAGGACTTTTTACTAAAGAAGTTGTTCTTTGAATGGACACCAAAACATAGACAGAAATCCACATAACCAACATCCATAGTTACCATAATTTTATAATTCTTATTTCGTCTCTTCCCTCCCCTTTTTTGGTGCAGTCCTTCAAGCAAATCCCAGACATCGTATCATTTCACCCATAGCACTTCAGATAAGGACTTAAGAAAAACATATTATCACATCTAACACATTTAACAATGCATTAATACTATAGAATTCCCAGGCACAGTTCCGTTTCCCCCAATTGTCTTAAAGTTGTTGTTCTAATGTTTGAATTAGGATGTAAACAAGGTCCACACAGTGCATTTGCATCTCATTTTATCTACATTTCCCCCTTATCTAAAAAAAAAAAGTCATTTATTGGCTAGAGAAACCAGGTCATTGGTCAGATAGACTTTTCTTCGCTGTTTGAATTTGGCTGATTGCAATCTCATGGTGTCATCTTATGCTTTCTTCTGTCCCTAGTATTTCTTGTAAACTGGTGGTTTTATCTAGAAGCTTGACCAGATTCAGGTAACATCTTTTGGGCAGAAATAGGTCATAGGTGGTGCTGTGTACTTCCCCTTAGGGGATATCGGGAGGCAATTTCTTTTTCTCCTCTAAAGATGTTAAGATTGAGGAGCGCCTGGGTGACTCAGTCATTAAGCGTCTGCCTTCGGCTCAGGTCATGATCCCGGGGTCCTGGGATCAAGCCCCACATCGGGCTCTCTGCTCAGCGGGAAGCCTGCTTCTCCCTCTGCTCCTCCCCCTGCTTGTTCTTTCTCTCGAATAAATAAATAAAATCTTAAAAAAAAAAGATGTTAAGATTGATCAGTGGGTCTGGGTATTACTGGCTCCATCTACCGCCCCCCCTTTTTTAAATATTTATTTATTTATTTGACAGAGAGAGAGAGAGAGAGACAGCAAGAGAGGGAACACAAGCAGGAGGGAGTGGGAGAGGGAGAAGCAGGCTTCCCGCTGAGCAGAGAGCCCGATGTGGGGCTCGATCCCAGGACCCTGGGATCATGACCTGAGCCGAAGGCAGATGCTTAACCGACTGAGCCACCCAGGCACCCCTCGATCTACCCTTTATAAAATTCCCTGAATGGTATTAGTGACCACTGATGTTTGCCTAAATACATTATTTCATTAGGGAGTGCGAAGCAGCGATTTTTATAATTCCACCCTTCCTTCTGCATTTATTGGCTTCTATGAAGAACTGTCCCTTACTGACTCTTTGGTGCATCTGAAAAATAGATTTTTCAGGAAAAGCAGGATAAATGCTTGATTCTTTTCCTTTATTTACTTTCAAATTAACGTACCAATTTTATCAAGTAGGTTTTTTCAAAAGAGGGAAAACATTAAGAACTCGGGGTTTTTATGTATTTGTATTGTTTCCATCCATTACAGTCATTGTGTTTTGGCCAGTAGGCTCCTGAGTAGTGCTTTATTATTGCAAGATACTTACCATACTTTAGTAATTTCCCTCACAAACAACGCTGTGAAGGTAGGTATTATTACCTAGCTTTACAAATGAGAAATCTACATCACATGGCTTGAACCACGATTCAAGGTCTATTGTTCTTTCCATTAAATATAATAATGGTTGTAAGAATCAGAGCGTTAAAGGTGACTAGATTCTTTTTTTTTTTTCTTTCTGGTTTTAAGATTAAACAGCAGAGGTCTTTAACCAGTGGGAATATGATATTAAGCAATATACACTTTAGAAGGCATTACTTGGGGCAAACACTGTTGAGAATAATGTTATGCTGATGAATACTGTAACTTAGTAAATAGCCCGTCTCAACTTTGTTTGTGAAGCATTTCGATTTTGATTACTCTGTGTGGGATCTACTGCTCAGATGTAGGTCATTTTATGGCCTGCCCATGTCTGGGGAGCTGGTATTACATGCTGCCTAGTGTTTTTAATTCAGAACTTCTTTGAAAAGAAACCTTAGCCTCTTATGTTTAAACCCTTGTTTTAATAGCATAAGCTATTTCCTTCTTAGATAGCTTTGTGGGCATAGTAATAAAATAAATACCACAAAATCACTGATGAGATGAAAATTGAGCTCCCTGCTTCTGTGCGGCCATGTAGGTAAAACAGTAATTGGCTCTGATAATAACTTTTGTTCTTACAAAACCAAAGTCTAAATGAGAGTCACATTTGATATATCTGCTTGTAATTACTATCAGAAGGAGAGAATTCCAAGTTTGGATTGTTTAATGACTCAAGATAGATTAAATAGATGGCTGCCTTTTCTTGATCAATTCGAGAAAAATTTCTGAAATTATTTTTTATATTTATCTTGCTGTTGGTGAAAATTATCTTCCAGGGCTTGCTCTTCTGCTTAATGGAATGATGAATTTTGTTTTTCTTTTTTAAATTGACAACTGTTTTTCTTGAAAAGATCTTATTACTGGGTCTGATAATGCAGCTTATGCTTTTAAGTGTTTTCCTATGTAGTTCAATAGGTGGTTTGTGAAAAGTTTAGGCTATGAATGTGTTTGGTAGTGATTTATAGCAAAACCATTTGATACATTATTATTTAAATGTAGGCCCTTTTGTTTTTTTAAAAGGGAAATTTAATGTGTTATTATTATTTTGGTATACACATGTTTTGGTGCCAAAGTAGTAAATATTAGAATATTAATCATTTTAAAGGACCTCTCCCATTGCTTTTAGAAGCTAACTAATACATAACTGATATTACAACCTGTCATTTCTTTGGGATTTCTATTTACATTTGGATTCCTGTCCATAAAGATCTGTGTCCAGTGCCACAGAAATGTAACAATGAGCAGAGAACTGGATTTTGATGCCACTTTCCACAATGATTCTGTATTTGATAATTTCCTCCCTACACCCGTACCATAGCCACATGAAGTTGACGGAGCATAATAAAACTAAGAAAACTGCTATGGTCCACCGAGCCAATGAATTAAAAAGTTCTAACAAATCTTAGACATGATAGATGAAGCTTTTACCATCAGTTGTATCCAGGGTTCACATTTAAAACACACTCTAATTACAGAAACCACATCCAGTCAATATAATACATATTAGCAATTTCCTAATCCTTGGTAGGATGGAAATTATTCTGAAAGTTTAATTAAGAAGGAAAAAATTATGTTCAGGTATTAATTTCAATAAAAGTGGCACTCGGCTTACGCGCAAAAGCCCCGGAGTGGTGCTGTGAGTGTGGATTCCTCACAGAAGGAAAGCCATTTATAATTAGCACAACGTTGCTTTTGCAACCCCACATACTTCCAGGAGAAGGAAACAGCTAGGCTTTCTTGGCAACCTGTATCCCTGCATGGGTTAAAGTGGACAGCTGAGTGCCATTATTTAGAGATTTGGCTTAAAAACTGCTATTTAAAAAAAAACACACACACAAAACACAGAAGAGAGGTTTGGAGGCTGTGTTAAGAAATAACTTACCTGGACAGGATACATACCATAGGTATTTTTGTAGGCTTCCCCTTCACTTTGACCTTAGGCACAGCCCTGTTTATGAATGCTTATGATCAAAGAAATAGCTGGATCATGAATGAATCTTCCCAGTGTGTATGACCATTTTAACAATTGCACCAGATCACTCCCAGATCTAAGACACTCAATTGAAAGGAAAAATATTGTTTTAATTGCTCACAACACCTCCTTTCCAAAAAGTCACAGGGACCATGTATTTTAGGAATCCATTTATATGAAATGCCCAGAATGGGCACATCTAAGAGACAGAAAGTAGACTAGTAGTTGCCAGGGGCTGGAAGGAGGAGTAAATGGGGAGTGATTGTTAATGGGTGTGAGGTTTCTTTTTGGGGTGATGAAAATGTTCTGAAATTTGGGGTGATGGTTGCACAACTTTGTGAATATGCGAAAAACCACTGACTCACGTACTTTTAAAGGTGTGAATTTTATAGTATGTGAATTATATCACAGTAAAAAGTCACAAGACCTCAGAAAAGGTTGTGATGTCATATTCCTTAAGTGTCACCTTACCTTTTAGCATCACATCATAGAATGCCAAAGCAGGGGAGGGTGTGGGGGGGGAGGGGTGTCGGGGGGTGGATAGGGTGACATTTGGAGGGTAGGGGTGAGGTGAATAGTTCTTCAAGAGACCCTCAAATCTAACTGCTGCATTTTGCAAGTAAAGAAACTGACTTTCAAAGAAGGAGAGTGACTTACCCAAGGTAACATGCAGGCAGTCCACAGGAGGGCAAGATTGGAACCTAGCTAGGTCTCTCCCCTTTTCCACCATCACCGTGTTGTCTTCGCTGGTGGTTTATAGTTCGGCATCTCAGCAGTAACTAATTTGAGTTATTTAAAATGAGGAACACGTGGTTCAAACGACATGCTTTTATATTTTTTTCTAATGACAGCACATGTTTTTCCTATAGATAGCAAAATCTCTGTGAAGGAGTAAATAAATGCATTGTGGTAAATTCACCAAGTCCAAAGTGAGATTTACCTGTAAATGTCCCTTGAGGAAAATGGCCACATTAACAGACCAAGGGAGCCCTCTACCTGTGTGTTTGCAGTATAGATTTCATTGGCAAAATCCTTGACCTGGAAAGCCAAAAATAGATCGAGACCAGGTATTCTGGTCCTTTGTCCACCTTGGTTGGCTTCTGGTATTATTTTGGAGGAAATGAGTGATGTCCAAGGATATATTTGTACGAGCAATAGGATACATGGAGGAAAATCTACAGAAAGTTCCTTTTCTGTGAATAAAAGAGACCAATTAGCAGCCTAAATAAAACCAAATATATATATATATATACACATATATAAATTTTTGTCAAAAGAATTATACTAAAATAGTTATTTTCAAAGAACTTCACACTCCTTTGAGGATATAAAATGTTAGTAAGCATTTTTGTTCATTCAACATGAAAGTTTCATTGTTTCTTTGTTTCAGCGAAAGATAGGGTTGAATGTAAAAATCATGCAGGATCCTGAAAACATCCACCACAGAGCTGCTGTAAATGTGAACTACGGAATCAGTTTGCCATATATTAATCAGAGAAAAGCCTGTGTAAGTAATGACTTGTTTTAAAGAGCTCTTAATATTTTTTAAGAACCAAAAGTCCTATCTTCTATAAGATACAATGTACATTTTAAGTAATGATTTTGATCCTTAGAATTTTGGGGAGATGAAATGGAATGGCTTTCATTCTGTTTATAGTTACGAATAATTAAAAACATGTAAACCATTTTTAAAAGATCTATTTGTAGCTCATTCAAATTTCTCTGTTTTATCTGATGTTCCTAAATAATCTGGTATCATCATTTTAACAAGGATGAAATAATTTAACAACAAAAGCAATGAAGAGAGAAATGTTAAATATTTTATTTCTTTGATAGTAGGCTTACCGCTAGAAAAATCGAAAGAAAACAGCACGGTAATCGGCTTCAATGCATATAATCATCCAGTACACAAAATTTAAGAATATTATTCTAAATCTGAAGCAAGCATGGAATCATTCTTTATGTCAGCAAAATTTGATGGGAGGGAAGAATGATCAAACGGAGATTGGCATTAAGTGATCTCAGAGTCTGTGCCTGTATTTACCATTGACTGGCTGCTAAGTGTCCCAAAGCCAGGACTGTACTTTCTGTGTTGTGGGGTTTTCTTAGGAGATTTAAAAGTAGTGCTTCATTTTAATTGAGAAATTATTTGACTCGAGATTATTTCTAATACTGAAAACAATCACTGAGGTGACACCTGTACGTTTGTAAATGCATTTTTAACCTTTGGCTTCTCTCAAAAGTTCTTAAATGTATGCTTTGGGGAGATCAAAACTAAAAAACAAGATGAATTTTAGAATTAAATTGCAAAACCATTTCTAATCAGAATAGTCTCTTGGATTAATCTTCTAAATTTCCTACACAGACATTTTCATCTGCCTCCTTCATTCATGTAACCCTGAAATAATATTTTTTACTTTCTTTCTATGTGCTTTATGTTATTTTAATAGGTTTGGCCTAAGTGCACTCTATCATAGAAATACTTCTATAGCCTAAGAAATAACCAGAAAGTTAGATATTTTTATTCCTGCTGAAACTTTATTTAAAATGTCACTGTGAATAATGGGAAAGGGTTTTTATCGGCGTCCCATGAGCCCAAAGCCCTTGAAATAAAAATATTATTTCTCTGGCTGCACAGACAGAAGCAGATTTCTCTTTTGTTGTTGTTGGTTTTCCCCCTTCAATCTAGAATTATATTGGCGTAGCTGGTGGAGTGCTGGGGCTTTGTAGCCCAAGGCAACTACGGCATTTCCAGCAAACTTTTCCTGATGAGTATCAAAGTTTAAAAAGACACACCTCTAGATTTAGAGAGGATTATGATTGGCTTTAATGAATGGGAGTGAAGATTCAGACATATATAGGAATTCAAAGTTATATCCAAAATCTGGGGCAGAACCTTAATCATTTGTTATATTTTTTGCTAATTCCCAAGAGGATGAGTGCTTTGGTTATTGTGCCCATGTACTTCGAACGCAGAGGGTTTGGGAAAGCACTTGGCCTTGCATGATACATAGATAATATACACTCATTTATTGTATTGAAGATCCTTTTTCCCCATTAAACTTAACTCCCTGAACATCTACACCAGAGCCCTTTAAAATGTATGGACATTATATACATTTTGCTCAAGCTGACTATTAACATTTCAATCAAAATAGTTGATCCTATCATCTCACGTTGCTATATGTATATATGATGGTCGTAACGGGAAATCAGTAATTTCGTTTTGGATTTATAAAATGAAAACACTGTGCCAAAAGCCCCGTTCGAGAAATATTCAGGTATTGGTTTTAAACAATCCCATAGAGCATTTGGGAACAGATACAGTTGTGATTTACCACTTATAAAAATGTTTCTGAAAGCACTTCCCCACATGGAAGCAATGTGTCTACGGTTGTGATGTATAGTTAATTAGAAAAGCAGCATCAAGGCTAATCGCTTTTTAGAACTACTCTAAACATTCAAAGGGGATTATGATTTGGCTGCCGAAGGCCATGTGCTTCTTTCCTTCTTATGAAACTTGAACAGCTTGTCAAAAGCCTGTAAATAATCTTCGACATTTTTGACAGAGCAAATTTGAATATGTAGCTGGTTTACATGATTAGTTCCTAGAAACTGATATTTTCTCCATTTTATGAAGAGGTATATCCTTCCTGATCATAAGGGGCTGGTGCAGAGATTTTTAAAGCACATATGAAGGCACATATAACCCAGACGCATGCGCGTGTGCACACACACCCCACCCCACCCCACATGCCTTCAGAATTTTATATCCTGTAACTATATGTAAAATCAATTTATAAAAAAAATACTAAAAGTGAAACTCACTAATGATTTTTTCCAGTATCTTAAATCTGCCAAATTATACAACAACAACAACGTTCTAATAGGTTTTAGAGCGGAGCCTCACAGGTACGGGGAGACAAGAAGAAATCTCTGATACATCAGCGTCACACTTCCTCGCTGCCATTTAGCTCCAGTTAGACTTTCTGATGCAACACATTTGAAGATCTACAGAAAATTTGACTTTGATTTATTTAGTTTAGATAAAAAGGGTTTCTTACAAGGCTTCAAACATGCATCTGTTAGCATGAATTTTAAAAGAACAATTATGAATGCATAACAAAATAACCAAAGAAAACATTGCTTTGAATCGCTGCACAAATAACTCTGATTATAACTGTTATGACCTAGAAAAGAATCATAAAACCATTTTTCTTGTTGGCAACCTATGAGTTGCTGTAGAATTATACCAGTCCTTTGGTCCCGCTTTCCAAATAAATAAATATATAATGCAATGTAAACTTAGAATCTTTTATTTATTCATGAGGTTGAATTTAATACTATTATGATTTCTCGATTTTATGAGTCATACGTTATGCGGTGTTTTTCACTAACTTAGTTGGGTAGCAACCACACTTCACAAATCATAGTTTCATTCTTTACTGTTTCACTTGGGGTGTACATAGTAATCTCTCTCGTGAAAGTACATTCATTTCTGGAATGATAAAGTAATGAAAAGTGAGGCAATTGTGTTCATGTCAAATGATTAGAAGCAGCGCCAGAAGAAAGGGGGAAGGTCGGGGTCAGGGAGTGGTGGGGGGAGAAAGAAGGATGATTTCAAAACATGATTGTGTTTTAAGCCCATGCATATGGCCACAATTACAGTCACAACGTAATTTGGCAATGGGAGCAGAATTAGATTTAAACAAATTGATGTAACACTGCAGTAATTCAGAATGAGCTTGTTGCATTTATAAACCATAACAAGAAGCAGAGTGAATTAATAAACCCTTCTTGTCACTAAAAATAAAAAAGGGAATAATTGCTGAGACGGAGTTAACAGATGACTATAGTCAGCATCCTTTCAGCCTAGATATGGGAAAGTGAAGGTCACCCCCATCTCGGATGACAAAGAGGGAACATTTTGTTGGTAAACAAATTAATCTTTTGAAAGGTCGCCATTTGTTTTAAGTTTTTCTCCAGTTCTTGTCATCTGGAATCAGAGATTGACTGTCATTTCACTAGGCAGGGGTGCAGTTGAAGCAGACAAAGCTGCTTCTGTACGTATCAGCATTCCTTGACAAAACTCGGTGCCTGATTGCAATGCTATGGGCTGCTGGTTTACAGCTGTCTCCGGACAAGAACGGAGGCCCACCCCTGAATTCCAATAAGATGGGCCTGCCTAGTCTGCCTGCTGCAAGCTGGCCCTCTGCCTACAAGGAAAATGCACTGTAGTTCAAGCCAGCAATTATCTCTTGTACTTCCTTCTGTGCTGCTTCTGTTCCTTTTTTCCAAAAACAGATGTGGGTATTCACTCAAGTTCTGCAGCTCTTCTTTCTCACACCTGCCGGGTCAGAATTTTGACAGAGGGAGACTCTGAGGGAGCCAGCAGACAGCAGTCAGACGGAATTTCTTTGAGAGCAGTTTAGAAAGAAAATGTGGATTTTCCAGGAAACGTGGAGTCAGCATCTTGGTCCCCCTCCTTTTTCCCGGGACCATTTGGTAAATTAAATTAGTGGAACGAAAGGAAAACCGCTTTTAAAGACATTCAGAAACGCCATCTCCTATTTATGACACACAGTCATTACCCAAGCACTGTGCTGGCACGCGCAGACAGCACCCCCACTTCCGTGGCTCAAGAGAGCTTTCTGGTCAGGTCGCTTAGAGAGAGTTTTCCAGAAAACAAGGACTTCTCGTGTTCTTCCTGATTCCTCAAATGTACGCCACCAGTACGGCAGTGGTGGTGCTGGAGCACGGGGCTGGTACATCACCTTGGTAGGTGGATGCTGTTTAGAACTTTAGTTCGGCCTGGGTTTTGAGTGCTGGCAAAGCCGAAGAAAGTGATGAGACAATTGACCTTGGCTGCTCCCGGGTTCTCTCACAAAAGCCCACTAGGACTCTGGGAGCGGGAAGAGGCTATTAGAGGCTTTGCCCTCATCGGGTAATGTTCACCGAAAATCCGCCAGTAGGGAGTTCCCAAACTTCTTGAGAATGTTCCCTGAGTTTCTGTGCCGAGATGCTGCACGCCTTCCCAGACCCACCAGCCCCGTGCTGAAGCACTCCCAGCACTCGCTAGCTCTCAGCGTAGGGAGTCTGGCTCAGACTCCACGGCCTGGTGTGAATCTGGCCCGATGAGGGAACTCCCAGAAACAGCCTGCGTTGTTTCACATGTAAAATGTCCATAGTAAGAGTATCTCACAGGATTGTATTGAGATTTAAATGAGAGAAGTCAAAGCACTTAGCAAAGGTCCTGGTACAAATAAAGGCTCTGAAAATACTAGTTGTGACTAGTGGCAATTTTCGTGGATTGTATTGTGCCATGTTTTATACTGTCATTTAAAGCTTACATTACTGTAGCAGTTGAGGGAGAGAGCCAAAATATTACTGAAATACCTTCCAAGGATTCTCTTTAATATTTCCTATGATGATGCCTTCTTTCCCACCCTGATATGAGGGCAGGGACCTTGCTGTCTGTTCTGTTTGCCTGTTTTTCAGACTTTCCCC